CCTTTTTAATGTGAGGATAAACTATAGTAAATTAAAGCGAAATTTAAGAATATTTTTTAAGGAATAACAATTTTAGGTAGGCAATTGTCAGGAAAATAATAATCATACAAGCCAAGGCCACATGATTCCTCCACAAGCCCCAAGGTGAGAGATCGATGCCTTGGCTTATCAAATATTGTTCACCAGTACACCTGAAATTCAACAGAAAAAGAATATAACTTTATTCCTAACATCTGTCAAATTTTATTCAATATATATCCACTGTTCCTTAGTTAAGCCTATAGGTCAACCAAGTAATTATCTCTTCAAATATAATAGCTAACAGTCATTGAATGCTTACAATTTTCCTAGATACTATACTAAATAACGTATACCTAATTGCTTAGTTAATCCCTAAAACAATCCAGTGGCGTAGAAATTATACACATTTAAAAGATGAGAGGACTAAGGTTTAAGGAACTTGACCAAGTTTACAGAGTCACACTTTGAAACAAGTTTGTAGCCTCCTCAAATTGGTTTCCAAATCTATAATGCCACTCTCTTCAAAGGGCAGAAACATTTACTAAATCAAATAATTTGTTACTTACTCTTTTTCTTTTGTTTTGTTTTCTTTTTTCTTTTTTGTTTGGGTGGCTGGCTGGTACAGGGATCCGAACCCTTGACCTTGGTGTTATCAGCACCATGCTCTAACCAAGTGAGCTAGCTTGGTCAGCACATATCACTTATTCTTAAAGAGGAAAACCTCAGTTTTAACAGATGATACCCATGGCCCTTACTAAGACAATCAAAGCTCTGTATGGTACTGCTCACCTACAAAAACAGCCACAGAAAAAAACACAGGTCAAGAATTCTAATAGGAGGAAAATAGCTGAGCGAGGGCTTCCCGCCAGAGTCATGTTCCGTCAGCACACAGGAAGCCTGCAACAAGCGATGCAGATACTCAGCTACAAGACATTACCAGCAGCCCCGGTTATCAGGTTTAAGCCGTAAGTAGCAGCTGGAGTAGAGCAGCATGGAGTGGCCCTGCCACAGGTTACAAAAGCCTTTAGTACTAAAAATACCTGGCATAGCCGCAGTTATTGCCTCATACCATCTTTGTGCAGCTCTTGGAATTTAGTAGTACCCAAAACAGCCACAGCCTCTCTTTACTGTAAGAGTAGCTTCCTCCTTCATCTCATGAGGGTGAGGACTTATGTTACCATTTAGCCTACAGTAACTCCCTCTCCCCCTTATCTGGTCTCACTTTTCACTTGCACTTCATCCTGACCAGCTAACTGGCAGTGGTCGTGTTACAAAGATGTCACACCTGGGACAAACCAAAAGGGAGTGGGCAGGAAAAAGAAAACCTCTCTTCATAAAAGATTTTCTGGTCAATAATTCAAAATAGCAACTTGTCCTATTAAGAATTATTTCTAGAGGGCCGGCCCGTGGCTCACTCGGGAGAGTGCGGTGCTGATAACACCAAGGCCACGGGTTCGGATCCCATATAGGGATGGCCAGTTAGCTCACTGGCTGAGCGTGGTGCTGACAACACCAAGTCAA